ACCATTTTCATTCCTTCCAGGACAGTTACAGACTTGCATCTTCTAGTTGGAAGTGACTTTTAGTCCCAAGGGCAGGGAAAGCCTGGAAAGGTGTATGATGTCCTTAGAGCTGTGTAGACAGCATAGAGGGCCAGCAGGTGGGAAAAATATAAGCCCACAGAAGCAACGGTTCTGAGCAGACACTAAGGATGGTATGTAAACAGGTGCTATCTTACTTCATTACACAACACCAAGCACTAGCTCTTCCCTTTACTCAATTACTACAAGAATTTACCAGATTTAAGGAGGAAGGAGACAAAGCAGAGATCTGGATTTGACAGACATTATCTCTGACACTTGCTTAGGGTTGATGCCAGCATTCAAGATCATGGGTAGAGAAACAGACCATAGTTCTAATGACAAGAACAGTTCTAAAAAGAATAAATATGAATGGCCAATAAATACTTGAAAAGGTGTTCCAACATCCTTAGCCATCAGGAACATGCAAGCTTGAATTGCTTTGAGATTCTGTCTCACCCTGGAGAGACACTATCTTCACAAAAATAAATGACAGAATGCTAACAAGGATGCGGGGAAATAGGAACGCTTACACACTGCCAGTGAGAATGGAAACTGGTACAATCTCTTTGGCAACTGGCACAGAGGTTCCTCAAAAGCTCAAAATAGAATGACCATATATGACCTTGTCCTTGCCTGGGTTTGTTGTCATAGCAACATTGACTATATAGAACAGATGTAGTATTGTTCTTTTCTATCTACCATGTGGAAAACATTAGGAGCATTAGTGTTAGTCATTCCTTAAAGATTTGGTAGAACTAAGCAAAGGGCACCCAGTCCCAGGACACTGTTGTTTGAAGACTACGACTTTGCGGTCTCAGTGCTAGTTAACTATGTGTTTGTTTCACTGATTCTTTGTATTGTGTTTTAGTTTCCATTATTAATTTCTGTTGCACTTTATATCCCCACATCTTAAAATTCTTTAACTAATTATGTTTTGGATTTTTTTTTGTTTGTTTGTTTGTTTGTTTGTTTGAGACAGGGGTTTTCTGTGTAGCCCTGGCTGTCCTAGAACTCACTCTATACACCAGGCTGACCCTGAACTTGGAGATCCACCTGCCTCTGCCTCCTAAGTGCTGGGATTAGAGACATGCACCATCACCACCTGGGCAGTTTATATCTTTATCTGATGATTTGGAGTTTTGTTGGTGTTTTCTAAAACCCTGAGTTATATTATTAGATTATTTATTTGTGATATCTCTGATTTTTTAAAAAGTGTGTGTGTGCATGTGTGTGTGTGTGTGTGTGTCTGTGTGTCTGTGTATGTGTGTGTGCACAGACATGTGTATGACATGGCATGTGTATGGAGGCCAAAGGACAACATTCAGGAGTTGGTTTTCTTCTGCCACCTTGTGGATCCAGTGATCAAACTCAAATCATCAGGCCTGAGCACAAGAACTATCCATGGAGCCATCTTCCCAGTCTTGATTTGTTTAAAGAAAACAAACAAACAAACAAACAAACATGAACACTTATACATACAAATTTTCTCTCATAATTGCCTTGGTTGTGTCTCAGAGGTACTAGAAAGTTTGTATTTCATTTCATTTGATTCTAGAATTTTTTTTCAATAGCCCCGTTGATTCTTTAATGACCCATATGTCATTCAGGAGTATATCTTGTGGGGCTGGAGACAGCTCAGCAGATAAGAGCATGGGCTGCTCTTCCAGAGGAACCAAGTTCAGCCTCTGTATATAGTGAATCCCAACTGCTAACTCCAGTTCCAAAGGATCTGATGGATGCCCTCTTCCATCCCCTGTGGTCACCAAGCACATAGGCAAAACAGTCACAGAGAAATTAAAAACAAATAAAACGTGTAGTTTAAAAAGAGTGTGTAGTTGAATGTTTTTCTCTGTCCTGCTGGTCCCCCTGGACTGGTTTTGTCCCCACAGCCACTTATAAAATAACACTCTGAGGGTTAATATCAATTACAATTGTTTGGCCAAGGGCTCAGACATATTACTGGCTAGCTCTTTCTTATAAATTAACCCATTTCTATTAATCTGTGTATTGTCACCAGGCTGTGGCTTACTGTAGGTAATGCTCCGGCATGTTATTCTTTTGGTGGCTATGCATCTCCCTGACTCCATGTTTTTTCTCTCAGTAACTCAGTTTGGATTTCCTGCCTAGCTCTATGTGGCCTGGCCATTGGTCAAAACAGTTTTTTTTTTTTTTTTTGAATCAACCAATAAAAGCAACACACATTGGAAGCTTACACAAGGTCATTCCATAAAAGAGTGTGTTGCTCAATCCCCAAATGTTTTCAAACTATTTTTTATTTGTTTTGTGTTTTTGTTATTGATTTCTCGTTTTATTTCCAGATGTTGTGACAAGGTGCAAGAAATTTTTTTCAGGGGCTTTTCTGCATTAGTTAGCACTTGCTTCATGAGCTAAAATGTGCTGTTTTAGAGAAAGTTCTGTGGAAGAGTACAAATTTTTGAAGATGCTAGATGTAATTAATACTCTGTAGATATCTGTTAAGTTCATTTGGCCTAAAGTACAGATTAATTCTGAAGTTTCTGCATTTATTTTTAGTCTGGATGACCTATCTACTGAGAAGGGTAGGATATTTGTAAGGGAAAGGGACCAACCAAAGAAACACACCCTGGGCAGAGCCAAAGAAACACACTCTGGCCCTGCAACCAGAACCAAAGAAATACACCCTGGCCATGAAACCAGTACCAAAGAAACACATTTTGCTCCTGGAATCAGAGCCAGTGAAAGAAATACACCCCGGTCCTAAAACTGGAGCCAAAAAAAAAAAAAAAAAAAAAAAAAAAGGATCAGTGAAAGAAACACATTTTGGTCCTTCTGAAACCAGAGCCAAATCTGACCCTAACCCTGTGGAGAAAAACAACCAATCCCTGAGCACGACATCTAGCCAGTCTGAGCTCAGGAACTGAAATCTGACCAATCCCCACCCTGGAAATCTCCCTAGTAAAACTCTACGCCTAAGAAGCCCTATATAAACCCTGTGTCTGTTGTGCTTGTGGCTGTTCAGCCTCCCTGGCTGTCCTCTGCCACCCACTCTCCTAGATTCTTCCCTCTCAATAAATCTCTTGAATAAGGTTTGGGTGAGGGCTCATTTGGCCTGCACTTTAGATGGGAAGGCATGGCAAAGCTCATGGAGGCGGCAGCACAAAGCTGGTACTCCTCATGTCTGGGAAAGCCAAGAAGCAGTGACTGAGGATGCCGGCCTTCCCCTTCCCTTTTTACTCAGACTTGGATGTGTGGGATCATACCACCTACTTTCAGGGTGGCTCTTTGGTCTTAGCGAATCTTCCTATAAGCAACTTCACAGACAAGCTGAGAGGCTTGTTTCCCCAGTGATTCCAAATACATTCGAGTTAACTGAAGTTGACCATCATACATAGTTTCAGTTGTCCCATGAGACCTTCTTTCGCTGCTTTAGCTGCCGCACAGACACAGAAACGACCCGGGACAGAGCAGGCAAAGTGAAGTTGTTACACTCCACTCCCAGGGATTGGAGCCGAACTTGCTCTGTAGACCAGGCTGGCCTCGAACTCATAGAGATCCACCTGTCTCTGCCTCCCAAGTGCTGGGACTAAAGGTGTGTACCACCAACGCCTGGCCTGTGACATTTTAGGAAGTATTCACACCAAAATTAATTAACTATACTGTAAGAGTGGCAATTCTGAAGCCAGGAAGCCTCCCATTGGATTTTACACTTTGACCATGATATGTACTTATTCACCACTAAAACACCTAAAGTCATGACAGAGTAGAACCAGAAAAGCAATTACTCTTGCTTCCTCTTTTACAATTATGTGTCCTTGACCTTCATTAACTCCTTCCTGGTCACCCTTTCATTTATCCTTTCTATGTTTTACTGTGCCTCCATATACATTTGTTTACATGTATACATTTATATTACAGATACAGTCCACATATGAGAAGAACATGCAGTGTCTTTTTTTTTTCTTTTTGCGTTTTTGTAATCCCGAGTCCTTCTGTTTTTTGTTTTGCTTTGTTTCCCTGAAAATCCTTAAATTTCATTTTTTTTAGAGTGGAATAGAATACTATATTATATATATGTCAGTAATTGATGGAAAACTGGGGTGGACCCATTCTCTTGTTGTAGAGCACTGAGAAGCAATAAACATGGAGCTACACATATCTCTATGATAGGGTATGAAATTCTCTGGGTATATATCCAGATCTGAAATAGCTGGGTTGTATAGTCTATGTTTAACTTCTTGAAAAAAATCGACAAACTCTCCCTCAGAATGTCTGTATTAGTTTGCACCCCCCCAACATTTGTTATCAGATCTCTTGATGACAGCCATTTTGATGGGTAGTTTTGTTGTGCAATCCCTGATGGAGATATCCAACACTTTTAAAAATAGTGATTATTCCTGACTCTCGTTTTAAAATCGTCTATTCAATTCATTTGCACATCTGTTGACTGTCGAAAGATAGGACTTTGCTAAGCAGACCTAGTTGATATTGTATCTTTCTAATGGATTACGTAGTATATAAAATTAAGCATGCACTTAGAAATATGTGTGCAAATGTAAACACTAACACTTCAAAGAGTTAAACCTGTCTTTGGAATCAGGACTAAAGGAGACAGTGTTCTTGTTGGGAGTTTTTGTACTATTGAGTTTCTAAAATTATGCACATATTACTTTAGTAGCAATATATTAATACTTTTAAAATAAATCCACCCGTGCAGTAATGTAGGATGTCAAATTTGTTCAGTTACAGCTGATTTCCCCAAGACATTTTTCTTTTAATATTTCATTTTTAATTGGTACATATTTTTATCTAGTATAGTAACGCTTTTCTCTAAACTACATAATTTGTTCTAGTTGAATTTATTAGTCTTATTTACTTCTCCGAATACTCTTAAATCAGTTATTTATATGGGTTGTTTCTACACGATCTATATCCACCACCTGAGGTCTGTGACAGGCGACACTTACACAAGGGGCTCCAGGCGGCTCCCGTACAGCTTAAAAGCGGATGTGGAGCAGTCAACCACTTCCGGGAGCAGCCAAGAGCTATGACCGCCAACGCGGAGCCCAGGCGGCGCCCCGGAGTTGGAGTTGGCGTGGTGGTGTTGAGCTGCGAGCATCCTCGCTGCGTCCTTCTGGGGAAGAGGAAAGGGTCGTTTGGAGCCGGCAGCTTCCAGCTTCCTGGGGGCCATTTGGAATTCGGGTGAGCGGGTCAATCTCGGGAAAACGGAAGTTGTGCGAGTAGCTCTAGACCGCCTGACAAATGCGTCCGTGTCACACGCGTAATTGCGCAGTTGCGTTCCGTGCGTTCTCTACGGCCCCGGGGTCTTCCGGGCTCCTGCCAGGAGGGGGCACTGTCTCCTCCCTACCCTGACTGCAAGTGGGAGTCGTCTGTATTTATTGGCGCTCACAGAAAAAGGATGTTTATTAAAATCTGGGAGTTTTCACTTTGTCCCCTGAGATTTAGATGTGTTTAATTTCTGGCCTCGTTGCCTGTGGGCGTGTTATGAGACTGGCCCGTGGTGGATGTCAGACCCACAAAGTGGGAAGCGTGGCTGAGTCAGTTTCTACACAACACGAAGAAACTCTGACCTTGTGCTCATAAGTGAGTTTTAAAAAGAGTTTTCAATAGAACTGATAAAAGTCTCTAAATCCCCACGGTCCAATGTGGTCTCCTTTAGTAATGTATGATAATATACATATAAAACGTGTAAGGTGGCTCCTCAAGCCCTCCTACGGCTCTTTCTTCAAGTATCATACTTGATTTTCTAAACTAAGGTTTAAAAAGAAATCCTAGACTTCCTATTATCTGTAAATATGTGGGTCTGTATTATCTAATAGATTTGTGTCGAGCACTATCGCCTTGCCTGCAAGAATGACGCTCAACAACAGGATTCTTCTGCAGCTATGTTTATTGCGTGGCTCATTACAGCAAGTTGAGGGAAGACCCCAGGAGGAAAAAGGGCTTTGCTTATATATGCTCAGAGGAGTCGTGTCCGTTACTGACAGGTGCAGCCTGCAACGCTCGTAACGGTCACCCCATGACGTGGATCGCGCATCTGCGCCTTGCTGGCTTATGGACAGGAAACCGGCGCCATCTTCGGGAATGGCACCGGTGGCTCTCTACAGATTTGTTTGTTTGTTTGTTTGTTTTAAGACATGGACTCTCACTAGCCCTGGCTGGCCCGGAACACATAAAGATCTGCCTGCCTCTCATTCCTGAGTGCTGGGGTCAAAGACCTGCACCACTGCACTGGGCCCCAGCAGTCTCCTGTGGCATCTGCTTGGGCCAGACATGCATTCCAGGATGGAAGCGATGCTTGTGTGTGGCTGCCCTTCTCTATCTCAGCACAGGGACCTATGCCAAATGGTCTCCTCCGCCGTGCAGTCAGATTTACCTGTGAGCTCTGCCTTACCACACCTGCTCTGAAGTTCAGCAGCTCAGTATGCCTTTGACAGGGGAGCAAAGTGCCAATATCCCCCGGCTTCTATGACTAACTCTTGCTTTTGCTTTTGTGTTGGGGAATTTTGTTGTTTTTGAGGCAGTGTCTTATTCTGGCTCATGCTGGCCTAGAACTCACTGTGGCCCACAGTGGCCTGGACTTAGGATGTTCCTACCGCTTCAGCTTCCTGGGTGTTGTGGCATAACTGAGTCATTGGAGGTGCCTCACACTGGCTCTTCGTCATCAGAAAGAGAAACATTCCTGCCAGGCTGAAAGTGCATAGCTCCTTTCCCCTCGAAGGTAACCTGGCCCTGCTGTGTGGCCTGGGAGCACACTGTCCTGGCCTACTGCAGCAAGTCCCCAAATGCCAGCACTCTGCTCTCTGGGTTGCGTAATGGCCTCTGTTTTGAGGCTTAAACTGAGATTCTGAAGCCTAGGGAAGGCATTTAATGTACTTTCGAAACACAACAACAATACGAGAAATTTAATGTTTCCCTTTTCTATTTAAGATCGAAAGTAGAACTTCAGGTTCCAGCTTGGGTACAGCTGACTTAAAAGCCTGGGTTCTTACCTGACACTCTGAACTGCGCCCAGCTGCCTAGGTAGTAGCTGCAGACCTGGATGGCAATGTTGGTGGTTAAATGCTGACTGTTGTCCTATATAAAAGACGCTGAGTCTTCAGATCACTAATATAGAAATGCAGAATGTGAAGGCAGAGGGTTTTTTTTTATCATTTTAAAACATAAATTAATTACTGTTGCTTTTATTTTATACTACAGCATTCCACCAAGAATCTAATTTTGTTTGTACACTGAACAGGCTCTGTTTCTTCTTCCAGTGAGACCTGGGAAGAATGCGCTCAGAGGGAAACCCGGGAAGAGGCCGGGCTACACCTGAAGAACGTGCGCTTTGCATCTGTGGTGAATTCTTTTGTTGAGAGGGAGAATTACCATTATGTCACCATACTAATGAAAGGAGAGGTGGACGTGGCTCACGGTTCAGAGCCAAAGAACATGGAGCCTGAGAAAAATGAAAGTAAGAGAATCATATATAACAATCCATTCTTCCTCAAAGAAACATGCCACTGAGTGTATCATTGTCATGTAAGGAGAACTGGAGTCTCACATTTCTGTCTTCGCCCCTCCAAAATTCCTTGAATTGGAGCTAGGAGTGGTGGCACATGCCTTTAATCCCAGCACTCGGGAGGCAGAGGCAGACAGAACTCTTGAATTTGAGGCCAGCCTGGTCTGTATAGCAAGTTCCAAGCTAGCTAAGCTATAGAAAGATTCAGTCTCAAAAAAACCCACAAAAAATTAAAAATGAAAACCCCTGTTGAAATTCTAATTCTCAAGGTGATAGTAACAGAAGATGGGGCATTTGGGATGTGGTTAGGTCATGAGGGCAAAGCTTAGTCTTTGCATTGCTGTGACAAAATGCCCAACATTAACAGTATAAAGGGGAGAAGATTCCTTTAGCTCTGATTTCCTAGGTTTTAGCCCATGGTCCTGTGGATTTGGGGCCCTTTGTGAGGTAGAATTTCAGCAGAGAGGCAGCGTGAGTAGGGCCAGGCGTAGCCCTCTGAGGCACATCCCCAGTGACCTCCTTACGCAGTCCACACCTCCTAAAGTTACCGTCGCCTCCCAGAATAGCAGCAGCAGCTGGGACCCACTGTCACAAATAGGATTAGTGCTCACATTTATAAAAGAGACCCCAGAGGCACCCTCACCACTTACTCCATATGAGGGTACAGAGGGCGGATGGCTGTCCCGTGAGCCAGGAAACGGGCCACTACTAGACATCATGTCTTGCCAGCATCTTGATTGAAGTCTTCCAACCTGCAGAACTGTGTGAAATAAATGCCACTTAGTGCAAGCTATCCTGTTATGGCAGCACAGACAGACAATATAGAGATGTGAACACACAGATCCTGGAGGATATGAAATGCAGCCTGCCTGGGTTTGTGCCATGGTTCATACACTGTGTTCTTGCGAGGATGCAGTGAAACTACCGAACAGGACCACTCTGTATGAGGAAAGAAAGGCTTGTTTGGCAAAATTGAAAGTTGTCATGGCTATCTCCAGGGGTAGAAGGGAGGAACGGGAGTAATGAAAGGCGGGACAAGCCTCGACGGTTCTAAAGAAATAGGCTGTAATGGGAGGAAGCCTGTAAACTGGACTAGCCTGGAAGTTTACAGGTGGGGGGATTTTGCAGATAAGAAAGGACATACCAGCTTGGGGACTGTGATATATGTTACAGGTATGTCTTATATAGAACTAGATGTCCCATATGGAGCTGTAGGGGTAGGTAAGGGAAATAGAGACTCTTCCAGACAGACAGACACCCTATTCACAAGTCTTTAAGCAGTAGTTCTCAACCTGTGGGATGTGACCCCTTTGGGGTCGAACAGCCCTTTCACGGGGTCACCTAAGAAAACACAGACATTTACATTAGGATTCATAAGAGTCACAAAATTACAGTTATGAAGTAGCAGTGAAATCATTTTATGGTTGGGGTCACCGCAGCGCAAGGAACTGTACTAAAGGGTCGAAGCATTAGGGAGAGGGAGAACCAGTTTTTAAGGAATGCCACTTTTAGGCTTTTGTGTATGTACCAGCAGTACTTCCATTTATCTGGTCAGAGACCAGCCTGAGCTGAGCCCAGAGTGTAAGTGCACAGAGTTAGTGGTGGGACATCTTTTTCTCCTGTGTGAGAACAGTAGACACCTCACATGTGTTCAAGTAGGTGCATGAGACCCTGACTCCAAACAAAGAAAGGAAACAGCCCAGCGTTTCCCAGGTTGCCCCTGTCTTCCTAGTCTTCCTTCTAAACCTAGGTTTGATTTGCACAGCCCAGCTAGCCCCAGACACCACTGTTGCTTTGATTAGTGCTCGGTCACTTGTAAATTCAGCTAACGTTCCTCTGAATGTCCCATAGCTTAGTTCACCAAATGACAGCCCCTTGCCCTGCCATCCCTGCGCACTGATCGTCTCTCTTCTAGGTTGGGAGTGGGTTCCTTGGGAAGAGTTCCCTCCATCGCACCAGCTTTTCTGGGCTCTCCGTTGTTTAAAAGAGCAAGGCTACGACCCATTTAGAGAGGACCTGAGCCACCTGGACGGGTACAGAGGTGAGCACCTCGAAGAACCCAAGGAGATTCCTTAATTTAAAAAACAAAAACAAAAAAAACTTAGTAAATGAAAGGTTCACTGTTTCAAGACAACTTTGTTTTATCTACGAAGCCACGTGGTCACCAGTTTACAGTCTCCTAAAGTAACTTGAACTCATAAGAACATCTTCCTGAGGCGTGTCGCTGTGAAGATGGATAAGGACCTTGTGGCTAACTGTCTGAACTGCTGTAAGTTACCATTGATGGCTACATGAAGACGAGTGTCACAGTATTTGTCTTACTGTTCTGATTCAAATAGAGGTCGGACAGAACTCATTCAAGTTCAGGAGCAAATTGCCCACTGCAAGATTCAGTATGCTTGTTGATTTCCTTTTTCCTTTTACTTGAAAGGAATTTTTAAGTGACCATGTAACTAGAGAGATCATGACATGTACTTCCCTGGTTTCTAACAGGAATCTGTGTTAAATGTGAGACAGCCTAAACTTGGATCCTACTATTAAAGGCCAAGTCATCTGCGTTTCTCTCTTTCTCTGCCTGAGATCTTGTATGAGTCCTTGTATGTTGGGATTACACAGAGCAGTGCACTGGGTCTCCTGGATGTAGGGGTTCTCCCGGGGTCCTCAAGAACTTTGCAGGACAAGGCCAAAGGTTGGTTGGTTGGTTGCCCTCCCCCAACCCCCAGCAAATCATAAAGTCTTACCGTGAGAGACTGAACAGTTAAAATGTCACAGAGTGGCGCGCACGGGGCTGTACTCTGTCCACAATGAAAGCTGAGGATTGCTCTTTAACCTGCTTCTCGCTTCCGAGGGGGCTTTGGGTTTGGCAAAGTCACCATCTTGGCATAAGGATCGCCTTGGACTTAGCTAATGCTCTATAGCCCATGTTAAGCATCGTCCAAGCCCTTGGATCGCATGTGCTTGCTTGTATCTCCATGGTTAGGCAGGGCATGGCTTTGGGCCATGTTTCTGTCGCCAGGCAATCACTGGGCCACTCTGCTGCACAGGCCCCTGGTGAGCTCTTCACGTGAGGTCGTTTCACTGTTACCAGGCCGCTCTGCTGCATAGGCACCTCGTGAGCTCCGTACTCGTTACTTTTGGGTCTGTTTCACCAGCGATCCTGTTTCACATAGATTAGTTTTTGTTTTTGTTTTGTGAAACAGGGTTTCTCTGTATAGCCCTGGCTATCCTGAAACTTGTTCTGTAGACCAGGCTGGCCTAGAACTCAGAGCTCCACCCATCTCTGCCTTTGTGTTGGGATTAAAGGTGTGTGCCGCCACGCTTTCATGGATTAATTTCTGGTTAGAAAAAAAAAAAAAGAAAGAAAATAGTGGGGAACGATGGTCACACCTCCCGTGCACAGCCCTGGCAGATGGTTCAAGAGTGCTGTTGCACAATCCAGTTACATCCAGATATCATTAACTTTTTTCCACTTTTATTTTTTGACAGGCATTTTAAATGATTGCACTAGGTAATAGCTCATCTTTTCATTTACAAGCCCATTTCTGTGAATCCTATCTGGTCTCTGGGACATGAATTTTATTCTTTTAAAATACTGCATTACATGACATTTGTTAAGGATATTTTTTTTCAAAATTACACCTACTTATAAATCCCATTTTCTCTTACTTAAAGTTTTCTCAATGTTTGTGTTTAAGTATGGTAAATGTATGCTCCCCTAAACTTCTGGGACTGACTGGGGAGACGCTCCCTGCTCTGTCTTAAGGAGCCAGCACCCACATCAGCTTACCTGGAACTCAAAACCTGCCGCACAGTGCTGGGACATGTACCACCATGCCTGGTACATGTGGACTCTCAATTTTATGTATGTTGGTGTTTTGCCTGCATGTATGTGTGTGAAGGCATCAAATCCCCTGGAACTGGAGTTATAGACAGTTGTGAGCTGCCATGTGGATTGGGAATTGAAACTGGGTCCTCTGGAAGAGCAGCCAGTCCTCTTAACCATCTCTCCAGCCCTGCACATGTGAATTTAAAAAAAAAAAAAAAAAAACCAAAACAAAAAACAGGGTTTCTTTGTTCAATAGTTTTAGCTGCCCTAGAACTTGCTCTGTAGACCAGGTTGGCTTTTAACCCACTGAGGTCCAACTGCATTTGCCTCCCAAGTGTTGGTATTAAAGGTATGCCTGTGTAGACTTGTAAGAAGTAATCTGTACCAAAATGTTAACTTTTTGTACTAAATCTGGTAGGCCAAGTTTGTTTTATGCTGTCTAAATGTAATATAGTATTATATTACATTTGGAGGAAATCAAAAATACCTGCCTAAAATCAATAACTAAACAGATCTGACATAGATGTTAACAGCTTGAACTTAAAAACAGTTCAATGTAACTCCTTTTTGACAAACTACAGTTAACAGGCTAAAGCAGGTGATGCAAGCCCCAGGCTTGTGTACATCACATAAACAGAGAAACCTATGAGAAATAAGTTGAGATAAGATGATGGCAGGAGATAGTGGCCTCCTATCCCAAAACCTTCCATAAAATTTACTGTCTGTATGGGATTGTAATAAATGTCAATTATTAGTGTTCTCAGAAGCCCAATTGTGATTAATAGTTAAGATATAGTCATTTTATCTTATATACTCTGATACATACCAGGACCTTACTTAAATATTATAAAATGCAACTGAATTTTGTTTGTTTTTCAAGACAGGTTTCTCTGTGTAGCCTTGGCTGTCCTGGAACTCGCTTTGTAACTCAGGCTGGTCTCAAACTCACATCTGCCTACCTTTGCCCTCAGAGTGCTAGGATTAAGGGCATGTGCCACCACAGCCCAGCTTAAATGCAACCAGATCTAAGTAAGTTTCCTTCTTATACTGAAGGTGTTATATGTTATATATCAGAAAGACAATTGAAAAAATTAAAAAATACAAAGAAAAGCAAGTTTATTTACACAAATTACAGTATTTACCACATAAATAGTGATAGTTCTGCCGCTGTAACAGCAGCAGCCGACTTTTCAAGTGAGCACTTTCACTTTGAAATACCACACTCAGCCCTACTGCCTCTGTGCTGGCCAGGGCTGCTCTGTAGCCCTGACGGCTGAGTTTACGATGTATCTCACAGCAATCCCCATCTCCAGGTGCTGGGATTACAGGTATGAGCTGCCATGCCTGGCTCTGTGCCCTTTCAGGCCACCCCCATGAGTTGTCATTTTTCCTGCAGTCTCACCTCCAGAGCTATGTTCAAACCAAAGTAGTAATGCTGACTGATCCTCACACATTTGCTCAGCAGAAGAGACACAAAACCAGGGGGCTGGGTGTTAAGAAGAAACGCCCCCCCCTTGATTTTTAGTGGGCCGCGGTTTGCATGTCCCTCTTGTCAGAGCTCTGCAGCCCTGGAGTGGAGTGCTGCCACACACCTTCTTCAGTCCGAGTCGCTACTGCTGCTTGAAGAGTCTGTTGACATAACCTCGACGTCATCTTCATTTTCCTTGTTGTGCCCAGGAGGCTCCAACAGAAAGTCACTGCTGTGATTTGGTGGTAGCATGTTCACAGACATGTCATTTGACTGCCATGGGTACTGCGGAGCAAGGACATCTGGAGGAAAGAAGCACATGGGATCAGTTCTATTTGTAACCCATCTACTTGTCAATCATCCTCCCTTTATGCAAGTAACTTAATTCTGTCTACTCATCTAACTTGTAGTACCAACGACCTGATAAGATAGGGGTTCACACATGCTAAACACACAAACCACAAACTACATCCATTATACCCCAGCCATGGGTCCTGTGCCATGGTCCTATATATAATGGCATCCATATATGTTACTAGTTAATAATTCTTTCACTTTCCCTACTCAAGTTACGGGTGTGGTTTACTACAGTACAATTGCAATGAGAAAGACAAGGAATATCTGGGAACTAATAAGCACAGAATCCCCAATCCACACTTCAGCACAGAAGGGACAGCTAAAGGAAACAATGCCCCCCCCCCACGTCCTTTCTCTTTTTGAAAGATTCTTTCATATTAAAAAATGGCACCTACAAAACATGCTTAGTCTATCTGGGGAGCATGCCTCAGATGGGAAATGTTCTTCACTGTCATAAAGGAAAGGTCCTTTATGACTAAGGAGGGTGGCCGGAGATGCACACAGGGACAGAAGGCCTTAAGCTCATGGCATGCATGCCACTGCAGGGTCTTTGGCTGAAGCAAGCACAGAACAGCAAACAGGCAGTAGATGGGCAAGGCTGGGCCTGGAATCTTAAGTGTTCCCTGTTAGATGATGCCTTGCTGGCACTTCTGAAAACCCCTGGCCTGTTGAAAACACCCTTCTAGTCAGCTTACCTGGCAGTCTACCTGCTGCAAGAGCATCCCCTGGGAGATGACCATTCACACCACTCGTGGAAGGATTGTTCATCTGGCCCAGCAACCCGCTTCTCATCTCTAAATCTGTTGGATATGGCCTCCGAGGGTCTCCTAAAACAGTAAAGGCAGTTTTAATTCAATTAAAAAAAAAATGTTCTTTGATGTATTAATGTTCCTTGGTACACAAGAAAATGCTCAAGCTCTTTGTATGTAGCCTATGCTGGCCTCAAACTTGCAATCCCGCCTCTGCCTCTCCAGCTGTTGCTTTACAGTCATACCATCACATCTTGCCCGACTGCATTTAGAATTCTCAAGCTGGGCATGGTTCATTAAGCCCAGCTCTCAGGAGGCAGGGGTAGGCAAATTGTAGTAATCTCAATTCTTCCAATTTAATTCTATTTCCTAGTAAGAAATATCAACAATAATAGATCCTCTGGAGAGAGAAGAGGTCACACAGATGGCATTACTAGGCCACTGAAGAGAATTGCCTTCATCAGCAGATGTTGTTTTAGATAAGTGCATTCTACATTTAGCAGTTTTAATTTGACAGGAAGCATTGTTACCTGGAACCCAAGTCAGTGGTGCACACACAGCATTGCTTGCACTAATCCTATGTGCATATTTAATGATTTCTTCAGAGGAGATAGCACCTGAGTTGAGAAAACAGAACAAGTCAGACCAGTAAATATAAGTTTAGAAACGGCACACATCAGTCACATCATACTAATTTCCAACAATCAGAAAATAAGCTAATCTCAGCCATCCATCTTCCCTAGCCCCTGCGTATACACTGAAACTATTATAAAACATTTCCTAAGAACCAAGTCATCACTCAGCAAAACCAGCTAACATAAATGAGACCTGCATGATAATATTCAATAATCTCAATTACTAGCTGCCATCAAATGCAAACTTCCAAACAGCACAGCGAGGACCTGTAAAATGAGGGGCAAGTGCCTCATTCCAGTGACATCCAGGCTGCTAAGCCAGCAGTCCATAGCCTCTGTGTTCTAAGGAGGTGCTAAATGGGCTGTGCACAAAACAGTAGTGATATCAGCTACCTCCAAGGAACAGAAATAGCTCTTCATTCTATAAACTTTAGACCTGTTTCAAAAGGGACTATGGACTTCTAACCACAGTCCTCACTGATAAGACTCAGCCACCACTCCTGAAGATTCGCTTCTTGGGGCTGAAGTGATGGCTCAGTGGTTAAAAGCCATGGCTGCTCTTCCAGAGGACCCAAGTTCAATTCTCAGCACCCACATGGCAGCTCACACCTGCCTATAACTCCAGTTGGGGATCTGATACTCTCACACAGACATGCATACAGGCAAAACACCAATGTACATAAAAATAATAAAATATTTTAAAAAATACTGCTTCTTGCTATAGAAGTCCACCCACCTCTCAAAGGATATTAGCTGTTTCAATAATCAGAAAGTAGATTCCAAACGGGGGGGGGGGGGGGGGGGGGGGATCAGAGATGGCCAAATGTAAATCAAATGCACAAAGTATTTGGTTTACATTTAGCTAAAGAACCATAATTTCCCTCTCAGTACTTGAAGACCCAGTGAGCTCAGGATGCAAGGCTTTCAAGTGAGTGAGGGCTGGCAGGCAGTGCTCCCATCTTAGTGGCCGCCACTGTTCTTCCTGTACAGCCCCCAGGAGCCCATGTAAACCCACTTTTTTCTCAACACTTTCGTAGACCGTTGTCTTTACTATACGTGTAAATAAAAAGCACAAGATCCCTTCTGTGGCTGTGTCTTGTAACTAGAGGACAGTTGTAAGATATGTCTACCCTTTCTGGGATGTCAAGCACAATGTAAGAACACAACACACTTACAATAAAAACTACTGAGCACCCTTTCAACAGTGTGACTAGCAGTATTTTATCAGCTTAAAAGACTTTATGTGTGCACACATGTGAGAGCGTGCACGTGTGTCTGAGCATGGGCACATGCACAGCTTTATATGGGTTCTAGGGATCACACAAGCACAACAAACTTTCACCCACTGAATATCTGCCTGTGCCTTCACGGCTTCTTGAGACACGCCCAGCCTCACACTTGATAAAGCCCGCCAGCTGCCCCTGGTACCAACCTTTTCTTGCTTTCTCTATTGACTTGAGTTTCTCCTTTGCTTGGTAAACAGCTGTTGCCTAATTTAAACACAATTTAAAATACAAATTACTCTTAGTTATAATAAGCAGAGTTTTCAGATTAATCTACAAGGTTACCCACTCACAGGAACAATTTACAAGGCTTGGAAATCCCTAAAATTTATCTGTGACCTTCTGAAACACACTTGATAGCATCTGCATCACAGTTGTTTAATGAAAGAAATATATTCATGACTTCGTTTCCCATTAATAAAAAGCTGCTAGGAATACATGACATGGAAGGACAGAGGAAATACTGGAGGGACTGGGCTGGGAGGATGAGGACAGGAGAAAAAAATGAGGGGAAGCAAGTAATAATATGCTTGAACTCAAAAGTAATAGACTATCCCTGTCTCTAAAAACAAATATAACAAAATGTGGACTGAGCCATTGTTCAAGCTATGAGACAAAAGGCAAATTTTCTCTTTTTTCTCCTTTTCTGTATTTTCTGAATTTTTTCCTGGTAAGTAAATATTTCATTGATTTTTTTTTTTTTTTAAAGCATTTATTTAAAAACAAAAACCCCAAAGCATTTTCCTGGGGTTTCCTTCTTCTGGGGGTTCTAAGTTATCCTAAGCCACCCAGGCTCCTTTTCCTGGAGCCCACTGTGACATACTTGGAACAAGAATGGCAGCTCATTGGATCATATGAAAGTTAAGCTCAGCCGTTTCTGTAATATGAGCACAGAAAACTTACTTTGGCAGTAAGCAAAACAACTGGGCTAATCAAAGCAAATAAATCACTTCAAAATAAGTAGCCAAGCCAGGCATGGTGGTGCACATCTTTCGTCTCAGCACCCAGGAGGCAGAGGCAGTTTGAGGCCAGCCTGTTCTACCTAGAGACTTGTGGTCCAGCCAGAGCTACACTGGGAGCCTGTTTCAAGGCAAAGGGGGAGACAAGGAGCTGAGAGAGAGGACGCATCAGTTAAGACCAATTGCAGAGCACCCAGGTTCCGTTCCAGGCACCCATACCCACATTGCAGCTCAAAATAATCTCTAAGTCTAGTTTCAGGGGCCTAAGAACCTCTTCTAGCCTCTGCCAGCACTGTACACATCTGGTGCCCTTACATGGACAAAACATTCATATACATAAAAATACTTCACTTTAAAAATGTGAATAAAAATGTTGTTTTAAATAGAGAACAAAAGAAAACCTAGTATAGAGCCTTGATCACTAAGAAGCTCACCTATCTTAAGATGGAAGGGCAAACAAAAGAATAAAATTTAAAAATTTTTGAAACTAGTATATGTTTACTGACCCAAAATATTTCATAAACTGGAGTTCTTGACTACTAATATCAAACTTGAATTAGGCCAAATACAAGGAAAGCTTCCTATTTCTGTAATTTAAAATGTTCAAATAAAATATATAGTTAGAACCGGGCGTGATGGCGCACGCCTTTAATTCCAGCACTTGGAAGGCAGAGGTAGGCGATCTCTCGAGTTAGAGGCCAGGATGGTCTACAGAGTGAGGTCCAGGACAGCCAGGGACTACACAGAGAAACCCTGTCCTCGGGGAAAAAAAGGTTTTTCCCCTTCAAAATACAACCAGAGCTTTGGGGAGAGAATGTAACAGCCGATTCTCCGAGACACACCGTCAACTCACCAGGATCTGCTCTGCCTCTTTTAGCTGTTTCTGCAGCTGCTGAATGTCACTGTCTCTCTTCTCGACTTCTTTTTCTAAAGCCTGCATCTCATGATGGACTCTTCCCTGATTAAGTGCCAGTTTCATCAGTTCTTGGAAGTCCCCATCGCGGTGAATCAACAACTCCAAGACCTGTCAAGTAATACCTGATTCCTTCAGACAGCAAGGCAATCAAGGCTACCGTCAATGACACAAAGAATCCAGACTTGAACTGGCTAAGTTTATCAATTTTAACACCCCGGAATAGTCTTAATCAGCATTAACAATATACATAGGCCATTTGTGTGGTAATTTGGGGAAACAGTCTTGATATCAAAAATTCCCATTTATTCTGCTCTTTCCACGCAGAACAAATCTTTCAGAAGTAACATTGTGCCAAATTTCAGGTTTATTCATCTTCCAAAGATAAAATTTAAAAATTTATATTTAAACATACAATGGAATAAGCTCTTCCAAAATCTAATGATTTGAGGTGATTTTAGTTCATACCAAACATTTTAAAACTTTGGGATACAAGAAGCTATTAGAAATTAAATGCAATATATTTAAAACTGTAATTTCATACCCAGTATGGCTTAGAGTACAGATAGCCTAACGAGGCTGTTTAAAAAAAAAAAAAAAAAAAAACAAGAACTGGGCGGTGGTGGCACATGCCTTTGATTCCAGCACTCGGGAGGCAGAGGCAAAAAAGGCAGGTGGATCTCTGTGAGTTAGAGTCCAGTCTGGTCTACAAGAGCTAGTTCCAGGACAGCCTCCAAAATCATAGAAAAAAACTGTCACACAAAAACCATCAAAAAAAAAAAAAAAAAAGTAAGATAAGCCAGGTTGTGGTGGCCAATACCTTAATCCTAGCACTCAGGAGGCAGAGACAGGCAGATCTGTGTTCCAGGCCACCCTGGTCTATAGAGTGAGTTCTAGGATAGCCAGGACTACACACTCACTACACAGAAGCCCTGTCTCAAAACAAACAAACAAACAAACAAATGAATGAATGACTAAATAAACAGATGGTATGCAGATATGGCAAAATGCCACAAAGGTTAATATGCAGCAGAAGCCTGGGGTTCCGTTTGTAAACCTTCAATTGTTAGCACTAAGACACAGGAAAAGACACCACCCTCCATGAGCCTATTTTCCTCCTCTAAAAAGAAAAATTCCCAAATAACACCTATGATATATGCCAGACTGTTTTACGGACTCATGATTTAGTGTAGATTGTAACATGCAAGGCTTAGCAGGCCAGGAGCGTTAACCACACCTACAATCCCAGCACTGGGGTAAAGGCAGGAAAACCTGCAAGTGTAAGGTAAGTCTAAAAACCCACCTAAAAAGAAAGGAAGGAAGGAAGGAAGGAAGGAAAAGAGATAGGCAGTGGAGGCATAGGCCTTTCATCCCAGAACTTGGCAGGCAGATAGATCTGTGAGTTCAAGAACAACAGCACAGATAAACCCTGTCTCAAAAAAAAACAAAAAAAAAAACATGGTTTGAGACTTTGTTTATACTTGTTTTGTGTGAGTACAGCATGTTACTTGAAATCTTTAAACTGATACTTTAAAAAAAAAAACCCATAGTTTTATTTTACTTTTGTTTGTTTTTCCCAAGACAGTATCTCACTATGCAGCCCTGGCTGTCCTGGAACTGGCTCTGTAGACCAGCCTGGCCTCAAACTCGGAAATCTGCCTGCCTCTGAAAGTGTGAGCCACCACTGCTTTTTAAACTGAAAAACAAACCGTTTACCTGGTTTTCCTCATCCAGCTGTAACAGCTTCTGATTTCTTGAAATTGCCAGCATTTCTATAAGTTCCCTAAAAGGAAAACAACCATCAAGGTATGCTGGTACTTGCCTTAAACTTGGTACTGGGGGGGGGGGGGGGAGGGATTTCAGGCCTTCTGGGCTACCTGGTAAAAGCTTTTAAGAACACAGTTTTAAAAATCTGTGAAAGTAAATAGAAAATAAACTTTTAACTGCTGCCTGCCAACTGACCACTGGGTTCATGGTTGTGATTTACAAGAAAACTACCTGCAGGCCAAATCCAGAAGGGCTGCTGCTTGTGTGAATTATATTCTTGTATGACAGCACATGACTATGGGGGCTCTCCCCTTACAAGGCTCCAAGAGACCAATTTTATAATGACAATATTGAGGATGGCACCCAATTTAATCTCTCTCTGACAAACAGGAGCTATCCCACCACGTCCTGCAAGTTTCTGGCCTTTTTCAGGTGATGGGATCATCTGCCAGTCGCCTCACGAGTCCGAGGACTTCCCAAACAGCATACTGCTTTGGAAAGCTTGCCTTGTTAACATCGGATTGGGAGTCTCATCCGTGGACTCCCGAAGGCTGCGGTTCAACCCTCATAAAACTGTTGCACGGCAGTTTTACACATCTGTCTCCTTGCTGTTGGCATCTAGCCTCCCCTCAACTACAGTATCCCTGCACCTGGCACACCCGGGAACGCTCTTTAAGTACCTGTGGAGTGTCGGTGGATAGGCCCCTTTCTTACTGACTACTACAGTTTTGACTGCCTTGGGGTCCCAGGTTACTGAGATGTCCCCATAGTGGGGACGTGCCGCCCAAAGCCCCGGGAGGCAGGCAGCAGAACGCAGGAGACCCCGGCAGACCGCAGGAGACCCCAGCAGATCGCAGCAGACCGCAGGAGACCCCAGCAGATCGCAGCAGACCCCAGGAGACCCCAGCAGACCGCAGGAGACCCCAGCAGATCGCAGCAGACCCCAGGAGACCCCAGCAGACCGCAGCAGACCGCAGGAGACCCCAGCAGATCGCAGCAGACCGCAGGAGACCCCAGCAGACCGCAGGAGACCCCGGCAGACCGCAGCAGACCGCAGGAGACCCCAGCAGATCGCAGCAGGCCCCAGGAGACCCCAGCAGGCCCCGGGTCCGCCACACTCGCACTCCGGACACTGCCCAGCCCGCCAGCCCTCGTCTGCGCCCACAGCCGGAGCAGGTTCCCAGGCCGCGGCTACCTCGACAAGACCTCCAGATCTTCCAGCGCAGACAGCAGCCGCTCTCGCGTACTGCCAACGCCTGCCATTACCGAGACGCCTCCCATGCGATCCTTCTCCTTCTCCCCACTTGAAGAAGCCGCCATCGCACAGCCGCTCACCGAGAGCCGCATGCGCAGTGTGAGCCAGCCGCAGGAGGGGCGGAACCGGAAAACGGAAGGGAGAGTCATAGAGATGGTGAGAGACAGAGGTCCCGCTAGAGCGCCGCCTACGCTCAGGGAGGTGAACTGCAGTTCTGGCGCCATCTGCTGGAGTAGAGGACGGCTTGCTCCAGCTGGACCCAGGATGACAGGTAAGTTGCCCAGTCTCCTGGGTTTCCTGTTTCCTTAGCTGCAATGGGAAGTTTCTAATGAATGAAATTTGAGAAACTGAGGGAACTGCATAATTATTAACTTTTATTTTGTCTGTATTCCCATAATATTATCTGGTCCATCAAGGTTGTTCTCTCATGAGATTATAGTAAACATCTTAGGGCAGGAACTAAAATTTTTTCTCCCCTCCCCACTTTTACTTGGTAGCAAAATACATAAATGTATAAAATGCACTATCTGTTTTTCATAATCCAGAAACTCACTCTGTAGACCAAGCTGGCCTCAAACTTAAAACTCTGCCTCTGGAGTGCTGGGAATTTCAAGTGTTTATTTTTAATTTTTTAAATTAAAAAACAATTTAAGTAGTGTCTCATGTAGTCTAGGCATGTGCTACCTACCTAGGGCTTGAACTTAGAGCTCAATGCATGGTAGGCATTGAATGACCTACTGAGTCATTCTCCCAAACCCTGGAGTGCTGGGATTAAAGGCGTGTGCCACCACCAACGGGTTATTAAAATTCAGTATCTTAACCACTGTATGTGTAGGGTTCACTGTGCTTAAATTGCTGTTAAATAAGGGCAGTAGATGGTACATACCTTAAGAAGCAGGCAGATCTCTGAGTTTGAGGCCAGCCTGGTCTACCAAATGAGTACCAGGACAGTGTCTCCAAAGCAATATAGAGAAACCCAGTCTCAAAACAAAACAAACAAAAAGTGTTGGAGATGGATGCTATTAACAGCAATTTTGTTTTGTTTTGTTTTGAGACGGGGTTTTTCTGTGTAGCTCTGGCTGTCCTGGAACTTGCCTTGTAGACCAGGCTGGCCTTGTACTCACAGTTATCCACCTGCCTCTGCAAGTACTGCGATTAAAGATGTGTGTCACCATACCCAGTGTTGTAATTTCTTTTTCTATCTGACCATTCTAGGTATTTTGTATGAGAGGAGTCACATAGATTGTTCTGGTTTGGGGGATTGTTGTTTGTTTGTTTTTCTTTTCTTTTGAGATAGAATCTTGCTGTGTGAGCTACTCCTAACCTAGGAGGGGCCTCTCCTTCTCATCTCAGCCTACTGAATGCTGAATCACTCTGCCAGGCTGATTCCATTTAGCATAAATGCCCTCAAGTTTCATCCAGATTGAAATAGGTTCCATAATACCCTCCCTTGAAGTCTGAATGGCACTCCACTGATGTGCACATCACACCCATCATCTGATGGCTTTTAGAACTCATCTTTAGACTCATGTATCTTTGATCCTTAGTCAAGATGACTGGCAAACTGAATGAATCAATAGAGTGTGTAAACAGTATTTCAAAAATAGTGTAAATAGTCGACGAAGTACATATTCTAAAGCAGGACTGGGTATCAACACTGAAAATACACCTCTTCCCACTCTTTCTGGAGAAATCAACACAGTAAGGAACTTTCCCTATGAGGAAACTTGAGAATTCCAGCTACTGGGAGTGAGTACTCTGTGTTGAGTCATGTTGCTGTTATAAAAAATGAGATGAAGATGTTACTCACAGCCAGCCACCTGAATGGGACAGTGGTAGTGTTCTCCTCATTTCAGGTCTAGTCCTGTCCACTGTCCTGTGGAGTCTGACTCCTCTCAGGCATCCAGAACTGAGAGACTCATTCTTATAAATGCACTCACAGCCACAGCTGTGTAATTCAGGGAATCAGTTTATTCATGTATAATGAAAAATAATGGTGCTGAGCACATTTCCCCACAAAGAGAACTACAGGACAGTCCATTATCCAGACAGGTGTTCAGTGAACTTGACTTGGAATGAATGAGGATAGGCAACAGATGCAATATTGCAGCCCCGAAGCCTTGTGCATCTACAGAGTGAAGATATTTGTGTCAGAGACCAGAATATCTGCTCTTGAGGCAGGGTGCCATCTTCCTTAATCAGTGCAACACACTCACAGACTCTTTGTTTGTTGCCCACTCACCCCAGTCTCTATGATCCCTTTCTGTGAACACATCAATCATCAGGCACCGTAATAAATTATATTTGTAAACATAATAATAGGCATCTAACAAAAACAAAGGAAATGTTAATGCCATCACCTCCAGAGCCTTGCTTTCTACCACATGCCGTTCCACGGAGGTAATTACTTTCAGTAGTTTCCAATATGACTCTCACCATTTGCTCCCAGATTTTTAAGGGAATCTGCATATAGTCTCTATCTTTATTGAACTCTGTATTTCTTTCCTATGATGCCGAATTAAAACTTCGAGTGTCACCAATATCCCTTTCCACTTCCTCTGTCCTAGTTTAGGATCCAATGTCCTGGGAAATCCATGCTGTCCACACACTTCACTGCTATTTGCACACTTCTACTGGTTATTATTTACATCAGGTATCTCATAAAAAAAAAAAAAAAGCTCTGCGGGCATTTTTAAAGAGAAAAGTGTCAAAAGAACAGATACAAAGTTCTGCTCTATGAAAACTTTCCTCAGTTACACATTGATGATTTCCTTTGAGACAGGATCTTAACACTGCATAGCACTGGCTGCCATGGAATTCTCTATTTAGACCATGCTGACCTATACCTCTGCCTTTGCCTCCCACGTGCTGGTATTAAAAGTGAACCCTACCATGCTATATTTTGAATGTCTTACTGTGGGCAAAAGGTGTGAAAAGCTTGAAGATAGGTATTTAAAGGGGTGAATAAGTTAAATGAGGGTTACTAGGGTGGGGGCCCTATGCATCTGCCTGGTACCCTCAGGAGAATGTGAAATGTGCCAGAGATACTGAGGAATGGCCCTGTGAGGTCACAGTGCGGTGGCTCTTTGGAAATCTGAGAGGACTGCCTGCTCCAGGCTCCTTGGTCTCAGACCCTGGCATCCCACAGGGCGGGGCTGTGGGAGCAACCCCAACAGGCTTACAGGGAGGGCTTGCGTGCCAGTGAGGATCTACAGAGTTCACTGAACTACATTGCCTCGTTCATGCATGTGACCTTCTCTCCCCAAGCCCTTCTTGTTCTGGTAGTGCATATTGAAGCCAGAGCCTTATAAACATAGGCAAGTACTCTACCATTGAGCTACATTCCCAAGCCTTCTTCCCAACTTGGTAAGTGTCCCTGTTTTGTCAAGACCTCATCATGCTGGGCTGAGTACAACTTTGGCTGCTACATGCCTATGCCAACATGGATGCAGAGAGATGGAGAAAAACATACAGGTCTCTCGGTTATAATAAAAAGTCACGACTTCAAACCCCAAATCTCCAGTGACACTCACTGAGACTACATAATCACACCATGTCCATGTTCAAAATCATCTCCATATCCTTGGTATTATTTCACATTGCTGCCTGTCTCCAAGTATCCAATATCTTTTTTTCCCCTCCCCTCCCAATTTAGGATCTTACTTCACGAAATAAGAAAAGAGGCAAGCAGATCTCTAAGTTCAAGGCTAGCCTGGACCACAGAGTGAGCTCCTGGACAGCCAGGCCTACACAGAAAAACCCTATCACTGAAAGAAAGAAAGAAAGAAAGAAAGAAAGAAAGAAAGGAAGGAAGGAAGGAAGGAAGGAAGGAAGGAAGGAAGGAAGGAAGGAAGGGAAAACTAAAACTAACCAACTAATCAAAAACAACAGTGCTCCACTGGACCATTCCCAAGGACCATTATCCCCCTTTTATGGATGAGATTATGCGTGTGTGCGTGCGTGCGTGCATGCGTGTGTGTGTGTGTGTGTGTGTGTGTGTGTGTGTGTGTTTTGTTTGTTTGTTTCTCAAGACAGGGTTTCTCTGTGTGTAGTTCCAGCTGTCTTGGAACTCGTTCTGTAGGCCAGGCTAGCCTTAAACTCACAGAGATCCACCTGCTTCTGCCTCCCTAGTGCTGGGATTAACATGTACATATGCCACTACTGTCTAGTCATTGGGAAGTTTTGAGGAGTGGTTAAAGATTTTTTTCCCTTGGGGATGGAGAGATGTCTCCATAGTTAAGAGCATTGGTTGCTCTTCAGAGGACCTGGGTTCAATTCCCAGCATCCACAGGCATATGAGTGGTGCACAGACACACATTCAGACAAAACACTCATAAAACAAAAATAAGCCTTTACTAAATAAAAAAGAAGAAAAGAGGTAAAATCAGAAGGAACCACTTCCTAACCTGTCTCCATGTGCGTGACCGCCCACCTGTCCCTCCATATCACACCGCAGACTGTCTGCCTGGCACACAAACACCCAGACGAATGTGGAGAGGCGAGGGGGGAGCCTTGTGAATGGATTAATGCTGTTATTTTGGGAGGAGTTGCTGGGGAACGCCCCCTTCCCTCTGGCAGCCAGGCCTTTCTCCCCTTTTGTCATGGGCCCTCGCCAGACTCAACCCCTTAGTCCCAGACTTTTCGCCCTCTAGAACCATGAGACAAAAACAGCTTTCAGGAGTTGGTTCTCTCCTTCCACCATGTGGGTCCTGGGTACTGAACTCAGGTCTTCAGGATTGGCAACAAACACCTTTCTCATCCAACCAAATTTATGTTTCTTATACATTACCCAGTGCCAGGTGTTTTGTTATAGGAGCCCCGCACGGACCAAGACACCTCCCAGCCTCCCAGCCAGCACCATGTCTGTACACCAGCGATGTACTCAGAAATTTGGCCTTTTTGTTTTTAACTCTTCTGTGTATGACAACTGCACAGTGATGTAATGAGCAAAGTGGGCACTGATAAATACTGGATTTACTATTGGTAGGGATGCTGAAATCACAAAAGACCAGATACTGAGGGAAATTAAAGTCACTAAAAACAAATTATAGCTATTTACAATTTGCATGCAAGAAAATAAGAAAAATCATATTTTCAATATTTTCCCTAACAGTCCCTGACAGATTCCAAAATATGCAACATCCTCAACCAAAGCTGGAATATCTCACAGTTCTGGTGCTGTGGAAACTCGCGGACATTAGTCCGTCGTTTGCTTCTGTTTTGGAAGCACCTTTCCCTG